ATTAGACTCATTAATTAATGAGTGAACCAGTGAGGTGTCCAAATTAATTTGAACACTGTTTTGGAGTAGGTGTATGTAGGGACCAGTTAATAAAGGAAGATTAGGATATGATTTTTGTGTTAGATATGAAACTGGTTAATGAGAAACAGGACAATTAAATATCACCATTCAGTTATCTTCTTCATTATTTGGAAATTGTTTGCGTTTCCACATTGTAAGTTCATTTCTATCACTACAAAGTTAAAATAGTCTATTCAATTAAAAAAAAAATCAAGGATTCAGGGCCAGTACTGCCTTTTCCAAGTTATCAGATGATTTTTCTATCAAAGGGTTTTTAACAAATAACAATAAAAAGTGTATAAACAATGGGGACCATGGGATCTCAGATGAAGTGAGAAGTGTATAACATGTCCAGTTAGACAGCCTGTTTGTGGCTAAAGCTTTATCTGGATATACAGTCTGCAGTGCAATCTGAGTTCCTTAATTTTTTTAAATAAAAATCTAGGAAACAGAAATTTTTTAGAAGAAAACCCTCGATTTGTAAAACCTAAGTAGACTATAGAGAAGACCCTGATGCTGAGAAAGACTGAAGGCAGGGGGAGAAGGTGGCAACAGAGGATGAGATGGTTGGATGGCATCACTGCCTCAATGGACATGAATTTGAGCAAACTCCAGGAGATGGTGAAGCACAGGGAAGTCTGGCCTGCTGCAGTTCGTGGGGCCGCAAAGAGTCAGACATGACTCAGCAAGTGAACAACAACAACAACAAGTAGACTGGAAAAGACACAGGTTTCTTTGGGTAGTTTTTAATCTGCTAAACTGTTCAAGATGGAACTGTTTCCTGGAGGAAAACGTCTTTGGATTTGCAGCTGGCTTTGGACATGGCCACAGTCTGCCACACTGTGCCTCCTTAGCGAGCTGTTAGTTTCCCCAGAGGCAAGTTACACAGTTACTGAAGTTACTTCCAGGCTGGAGGCCCCAAGCTCACTCCCCAAAATCTGAATGCCCTAAACTTAGATATGGACCTTAGATGCCATTCCTTACTTTCTGGGTCTGCTGCTCTACCGGTTTCTCAACACTAGGAAAATTACTGATCTCCAAAGCCGGGGCAAAACATATGAATCCCTGCTGCTGGTTGCAAAGCATCAGCTTTCTTTTGTCTAAAGGAGGAGTTATGGATATGTCTGAATGGATAGATCACATTTAGAAATCACGTCTCCTAACAGAGTCAAGATCCTGACCCCAAGTTGAAGTAATACTGGCCTAAAACAGGCAGCCATTTCTCCAGCAATGATGCATGATCTTGGGATCCACAGAGAAACTGATTTGGGGATGTGCAGTCACAGGAGGCTTGTGCAAGCCCCTGCACAGGAAGAGGGCAGAGGCTCTTATAGAGGGGAAAGGCAGGCAGGCGGGAGGGCTGCCAGAAATAAAGAGTCTGTGTCTTTTTACTGGCCCGGAAAGAACCAAGTCCGTCTTCCTGTTGGGCTCTGCTATCCTTGCTGGCAAGAGGGAGCCCCCTTCTGGTCTCCCTACTCCATTTAGTTGAGGTTCCTGCTTATTGATCCTTTTTTGTTCAGCAACTCGGGCTTCCCAGGTGGCACTGGTGGCAGAGAACCCACCTGTCAGGAGTGCAGGAGACACAAAGGATGTGGGTTCGATCCCTGGCTCGGGAAGATCCTTCTTAGATACCACGTTAGGACATCATGCAAAGTCTCCCACCAAGAGGACCCAGCTCTCTGCTGAAGTGGGGCTCCTGTATGAAGGCCCCCCTCCCTGGGGAGCTGAGGCTCCCCCTCTTTGCAGACAGCTGCCTCCCCTTCCATGCGACCCAGGGAGCCTGCGGCATGCAGCAGGCACACCGCACTCGTGAGCACCACCGTGTGGAGACTTGTCGGGGTCCCCAGCAGGGTGACTCCCTCAGAGACTCCATCCTTCACACCACACTGGGCTGTGACACGCCCCACCTGCATGGCCCCGAGGGTGGAGGTGAGACAGTAACCACATGCCAACATCTCCCCATGGGACTTTCCCCACACCACACACGTCCTCAGACCAAATGCCGCCTCTCAGAGGGGAGTACTCCACCTTCTCTGCTGTCTCAGCCACCGCAGGTAATTCCTTAATTCCAAAATACTCTGGTAAGCATGAAGATGATTACAGACCAGCTCACCTCATTCCCATGACAGAGTGAAGACAGACACCACCTCCTCAATTAACATGAAAGCAGACAGCAGGAAGGAAACGCCACCTGCAGAGCCACACCCTTGACATGTGTCCCGGCAGGATCCAAATCTCTTCTCTCCACCTGCCCGCCTGTGAAAGGAGTGAGACCCAGTGCTCCCCCTCAGGAAAATGACGGGGTACCGAGGGGCCCAGCAGTCGCCCTTGGTATGGCAGCCTCCATCCAAGGAGGAACCCCCGGTGCTCAGGGTCGGAGCATCCACCGTGCAGTGTCCTCCTGAGTCGGAAGGGGCTGTTCCCTCTGAAGCCAGTGGGTCCGACCAGATCACAACATACAGAACATATATCCGCTGCCCCTCTGTATGTCAGAGTCCCTTAGCCAAAGCAAACAGGAAGGGGCAGTTCACTTTCTAACACAGATTCTATGAAAGGACAAAGAGAAGAATCAACTTGACCTAATTGGCAGATTGAAGGCACTGCCATTTTTTGGGTTAACCTTTTAGGACCATTCATCTTATGAAACCTGTACAGCAGAAATAAAGAACCTCTTCAAATGTAAAACTTCTAAGCATTTACATTGTTATACATTCACCTTTCAATGAGCTTTCTTTTTACTTTTTTTAAAAGATCATATCTACTTGAAGATTTCCTTTCTTTTAGTAAAAAGGGCTGAAAAAGTTAACATCTCTGAAGAGTGACTGTTATGAACAAGGTTAATTCGGTTCAGCCTTGCTTCAAATGATTTATCATTGTCCACAATTTATTTTACTGGATTTTAAAAAAAAAGAAATTCAGTTGGAATATCAGCCATACACACATACACACACACAAATCTCTTTAGGTTGCTATACACAGTTATTTTGGATTTTTCCCTCTTCCCCCAAATAAATGAATGATTAAACTGACTAAGGAGACTCCCACCCAGCTCATTTCACTGTATATTTTTACAGAAACAACACTTGTCCTCCAAGGGCCACTTATTAATATTAAGGTTGTTGTTCAGTCACTCACTTGTGACCCCATGGGCTGCAGCACACCAGGCTTCCCTGTCCTTCACTATCTCCTACAGTTTACTTGAACTCATGTCCGTTGAGCCGATGATGCCATCCAACCATCTATCTCATCCTCTGTCATCCCCTTCTCCTCTCCTGCCTTCAATCTTTTTCCAGCATCAGGGTCTTTTCTAAGGAGTCAGTTCTTCGCATCAGGTGACCAAAGTATTGGAGCTTCAGCTTCAGCATCAGCTTTTCCAATGAATATTCAAGGTTGATTTCCTTTAAGATTGACTGGTTTGATCTCCTTGCTGTTCAAGGGACTCTCAAGAGTCTTCTCCAGTCCAGAAGAATTATGATTAATTATTAACTGTATTAACTAATACAATTAATATTACATCAACATTAACACAAGTGAACTAAGTTCCTCTGTCCACATATCCTATCAGCTCTAGTCTTTCCCTCATGACCTTGGTTGGGTTCTTCCCAAACCAGAGGCAACAAATCACCTCCCCACTGCCTGCTGCCCTCTGCGGACCTGCTGGCCCCATGGGCTCCTGTGATTCCTGGAAGGGCAGTCAGGAGCTCGTGAAATTGCTTGCTGATCTTAGGGTCTTCCTTCCACCACTTCGTCCGCCCACATTAGCTCTTCTCCTTAGGGTGACAGCAGTCCCACGCACCATGTCTTAAACCACACTGTGTCTTCCTCTGATCTCCTGTCCCTGCCGCCCCGCCCGCTGCTGGCCAGTCCCTCATCCGTGATGCTCTCTGTCCCCATTTCCACGGCAATACTCTGTTTTCTCCCCTCCTCTCTGGCCTCCTCTTCATTTCCAACGGTGCTGCCCTTCTAGAACCCAGGCAGGAACTCAACTCCCCGCCCCCACAGTTCTTCCCACCTTTTCCTTTTTCCTCCTCTCCTCCCCACTCCTCCCTTTTCTATCTGACTCCTCACAGTAACGTTCTCTTCATCTGACAGAAGAATCCTCTCTTCATCAGATGAAATAAAGGGCACCCAATCAATTGGCAATTTCCACTAAATGTCAAACACCTTTCTAGCTCTAATGATCTCACAAGTATTTCATGGGACACAGAAATACTAAAAAAAAAAAAAAAGTTTTTTTATCTGAAATTTTCATTTAACTCGGTATCTGGAATTTTTATTTGCTAAATCTTATTTACTAAATCTTACCATCCGAGGATAAATTAATTCCATACATATGGAACCCCACAGCTTCCATGAACATCTGGAGTTTTCCAACCTGCCCCTTCACCTGGACTACCCTGAGCTGCCCCCAAACACAATGACACTCTTTTACACACCTTCACCTTTTCCCAGACGTTTTCTTTATGGCTGAATTGTCCAGCCCGATTTCTTCCAGACAGACACCTGTTCTTCAACATGGCCAGTTTCAGGTATTTGTCAGGCTGACTAGTCCTGGACATCTGCAGGAACTTTCTGGATCACAAGTCCACTCTCAACAAGGACTTACTCTCCTGGGCCTCCTATGTGTGGTCCAGACTCTCACATGAGACTGATCTGGCAGAAAAACCAAGAAGGACAGCCCCCGAGTGCAACCCTCCGCGTGTCTGAGACACTGTGAGCTGTGGGGCCTATTTTTCTCTCAGAGCTGATCCTCCATTAATCTAAAGTAACTTTCCTTTAACCACCCCTCTGCCTCTAAGCCTTCAGGTTCGGTTTGCTCACCACACATTTCCACTTAGGTGAGTCTTTCTCAAGACACACGTGGCCGAAGGCGCCCAGAGGCTCAGGGCTGCACGTCTGCCTGAGCATCTTCCACCGGCCCCCGTCCGGCCTCCCCGCAGCCCAGCGAGCCTTCCGTGCACGTCAGTCAGCACGCGGTCTGCCCAGGTTATCCATCCCCCCGCGCTCGGCACGCGGCGCACACCCCGGTCAGCCCGCGGGAGAGCTGCCAGCTGGGGCCGCGGGGCTCTTGAGATCTGACGCCGCTCCGCCCCCACTCTGTGACTGGGGGGTTAGCTGAAGTGCCTGGGGCTCGATGCTTCATCTGTGTAACCCGGGCAACAACACCATAACCTCCTAAGACCCCCGTGATGAGCAGGCGCGCTAGTCCAGGTGAAAGCAGCTGGCTGCAACAAGAGGGGGAGCTCTGAGAGGCGGAACGTCGCGGTCACTGCCGCTCGGACTGTCCTCCTCAGAGCGCCGCGCCCCTGCCTCCTCCAGCTGGGCTCCTCCTCGCCTCTCGCCACGCTGCAGCTCCTCGGAGCCCCGCATCACCAGACACATCTGACCGTTCCTCATCTGTTACCCCTGCTCCTGGGCACAGCCCCCTTTCCGCTCCTCAATCTCCAGCCGGAGGCTTTCCCCAGTCACCACGCACAATGGACACCCAGCGCCCCGTCCTGTCAATCTCTTCTGTATCCACACTAAATACACATTTTTAAAAATCAGTGGGTTTTTTTTTCTTTTTTTTTTTTTTTGGTCCAGTCTTACCTCTTTCCAGGAGAATCCAAGCTTCTGAAGGCAACAGCAGTGGTGACCTGTTAAATTTTGGGGAGTTTGCTGAGCTCATTGACAAGTATAGTCAGTCTTGAGAAGAATGTTACATAAACATAAGATCAAACAAGTCATTTTTTAAATGAGCGGTGGGAAAACAACCCCCTCCTCTACAGAACCACTCTACAGTTCCCTGTGCTCTGGAGACCACCAAGGGCAGTGTCTGTCTGGTGGGAAAGACACACAGAACTGGGCTGCACAGCCTCCTGCCAGCTTCTGGGTCAGCGGGGTCAGCGGGATCACCAAGACAGCCTGAAACTGGCAGCCGTGGGAGCATCCACACCACAGAACTAGCAGACACTGGACTCAGGGCTTCCTGCACCATTCTGCTGTTTGATTAGAATTAGCAATGCAGTGGGAAATGTTAGTGATGAAGATCTAATTAAAAACGTGTCATGTCCATAGCTGTTATACAGTAGAAAATACACACACACAAAAATAATAATAAAAAAGTCCATTTAGTCAAAGTGATGATTTTTCCAGTAGTCACATATGGATGTAAGAGTTGGACTGGGAAGAAAGCTGAGCGCCGAAGAATTGATGCTTTTGAACTGCGGTGTTGGAGAAGACTCTTGAGAGCCCCTTGGACTGCAAGGAGATCCAACCAGTCCATCCTAAAGGAGATCAGTCCTGAATATTCACTGGATGCTGGAATATTCACTGGATGCTGAAACTGAAACTCCAATTCTTTGGCCACCTGATGCAAAGAATCGACTCATTGGAAAAGACCCTGATGCTGGGAAAGATTGAAGGTGGGAGGAGAAGGGGACAACAGAGGATGAGATGGTTGGATGGCATCACTGATGTGATGGACATGAGTTTGAGTAAGCTCCAGGAGTTGGTGATGGACAGGGAAGCCTGGTGTGCTGCAGTCCATGGGGTCGCAAAGAATTGGACAGGACTGAGTGGCTGAACTGAATACACAAAAAAATTGTGGCCTTGTTCTCCCAGTGTCCAAAAATGATCATTCAGTATCACCCAGGAGCTGCCATGGCACTGACAAAGTGTGGACAGACGTCATGTATCAACAACGCTCTTTAATATTAGAGAAAGTGTATTTTAGCTTCTGTGTCAAAGGTGCCCTGGTCTGTCAACTGAAACCAGGTCAACTATGGATACAGAAATCAACTACACGCACATACACATGTACACACACACACACACTCATGCATTCACCCCTGGACAGTTGGTGCAGGACTGTCAGGCTATTGTCAACCTTTTAAATGATCTCCTTATTGCCAATAACAGGACTGGATATATTGCTTGAAATATATTAACATTTGCTAAATAAGTGATTGAAGTGTGTGACATAAGTTGGCTGAATCAAGTACATTTTAGCCAAATTTAGACACTCAGTACTGCTCGAGGAACATGAAATTCTCATTACTAGTGAGTTTATCATTTCCAAGTTTCTTTTCTGGAAAGCCCAAATGTTTCTATCTCAAAATTTTAAAAATTATTTTGATAAGCTTCAAACATCTCATGTCCTAGACAATGACATAGCCTCTTTAAATTATATATATACACTCAAGTTATTACATCTTTTTCATAAACCTACATAGCACTAATTTTTTATCCTCATGTGTCAGCCAATAATAGGCTTATCCTTTTATATTAGAAAACATCATCTTTTTCCAATTTAAAATTATATATTTATTGTGCCTCTTCAAAATGCATGTGATCCTTTCCTCTCCACGTTAAATTTGGTTCTACCTCCTGCCTGGGAGGACACCTCAGTATCAAGGACCATGAAGGTCTGTGACTTCACCTAACTTGCAAGCTGATGAGACAAATGCTCTTGACAGTTTCATGGATCCTGGCAGAAGACCTGAACTCCCGGGTCAGAGATAAAGGACGACGTATTTCTCAGAGCTCGGAATGGGGCAGGGGGTCAGTGTTTCTGACCTCCCTGAGCCCTAGCTCCCAGGGAGACAGGGAGTGTCTAGGTGACACCTACATATGCAGTTGTCTGCCCTACAGAGGAGAAACCTGACCCTGGGGGCTGGAATCTTCTAAAGTGGGCAGGGAGTGTGCCTGCTCTTTGCTCTGGAGGGAGCGCTTATCTCTGTCTTCTAGCACAATTCACTCCACAAACATCTCTACAAAGATAATCTGGAATTAAGAGCTGCCAGTGCCTCACTTCAATTGTGCAGAACAGAAGGAACCCACGGAGGATCGCCTCACAGCAATTAGGACCATCGAGATGGCAACTGACTAAAAGATAACAAGATAACTCGAACCAGATAGAGCAAAAATGAAGCTTACTGGTTTATGTAACTGGGAACTAGGGGGTGACTCTGGGTGCAGGCCATGCTTTCGATCAAGAAAATCACAGAATAATCTAGGGCATCTCTCTCTTGCTCTCTTCTTAATTAAACTCTTCATAAATTCTAATTATGTGTTGGACTTGTTCACTCTTTATGCAAATCAGTTTCCACACTGTGGCCAAATATAGGTGGAAATAGATCTCTGTCATTCTGCCTAGTGATCTCAGAGGACAGGCCTTCTTTTTCCCTCTGCCCACACGCTAGTTTCAGATCTGTGGCCTGCTGAAGGTGTGCGCACTGTGCAGTGGGAGGTATGTCCATGACTGACCAGGCCTATGCAATACCGTGACCCTGGTCTCCTCCATAAGGATTGAATTCAGTAAAAAGGAAAAAGATATGAGAAAAAATTCTGTGTGTCAGAGTCCATTTATAGTCCATTTATTTATAGGAGGGTTTATTCTCATTTGAAACATAGTAGTTTGTGAAGAGCTACTCCGAGTAGATATTTCTATAGTGAAAAATGCTAAGGAGGAAGGTGCCTGACCACTACAGTAGTAACAGGAGGTTCATTTATTAATTCAATATATTTTAGGCATGAACATGATCCAAGAAACTTGCTGTGTACTAGAAAAGTAATAAATAAATTGCACATGACCCTCTGTCACTACTTTCAAGGAAATACCAGCCATTTTCCCCCTATTATCCAAAATAATGTGATGTTTTAAATGTCTGACATTTGTGGATATGCTACATTATCATTTTTTTTTCTTGGTAGTTTAAAGTCTTGCTGTTCGTTGCTCCTGCCTTATATCTCTATAAATGATTTTCATTTCTAGCATTTTTGACTGCTTTCATGTTTAACTGCCCTTGTTATTTACAGTTAAGTGTTGGTATTTGGTTTGCGAGGACTGGCTGTCAGCATGAGTCCAGAACAACCCCTACCAGTGACTTTGTGTCCTTTAGGCAGAACTAAAATTTTTCTTCTTTTTTTTTTAAAGATTTTTTTTTTTTAATGTGGACCATTTTTCAAGTCTTTATTGAATTTTTTACAATACTGCTTCTGTTCTATGCTTTGGTTTTCGGGCTACAAGGCACGTGGGATCTTAGTTCCCTGACCAGGGCTGCAACGCACACTGCCTGCAATGGAAGGTGAAGTCTCAACCACTGGATCACCAGGGAAGTCCTTTCTATTTTCTCATTCTCTCTCTTCACCTCTGTCTCTGTGACTGTATCTCTCTGTCTCTTAAAAACACACAGTGTGCTTACATGCTAAGTTGCTTCAGTCATGTTTGACTCTTTGCAACTCCATGGACTGGAGCACGCCAGGCTCCTCTGTCCATGGGATTCTCCAGGCAAGAATACTGGAGTGGGGTACCATGCCCTCCTCCAGGGAATCTTCCAGATCCAGGGATCAAACCTGCTTCTTTTTATGTCTCCTGCATTGGCAGGGAGGTTCTTTACCACTAGTGCCACCTGGGAAGTGCCCCCCACTCCCCCCCCCAAAAAAACCACACACATACAGAAAAGGACACAAATGCAGCAGCTAATTTGTACATACTGAACACATACTTCTTATTCACATTCAGAGGAACCACTTATTCTTTCAAATGGTGATTTATTATTATTTATAAATTATTTATTTATTGAATTATTTATTGAATTATTATTTAGTGAATTGTTTATTATTATTATTATTATTTATCCATTGGCATAAAATCATCCTTGTCATTCTTATTTCTTCTTACATTGACTACATGTGTTGCCATGACCTGTATTAAGTCTATTCATAAAATAGTATAAGAATTCATTCTATATTTAACATAATATCTATCTATTTTGGTGGATTACCTCACATATAATATACTTATTAATATCTACCTAATGTCTGGATTGTGGTTCAGTCGCTCAGTCTCATCTGACTTTCTGTGACCGTACGGACTGCAGCACGCCAGGCTTCCCTGTCCTTTACTGTATCCCGGCGTTTGCAGAAAACTTTCCTTTTTGTCTGGGTAGAAAGACATTTATTAAACATTGTTTACACTGAAAAAGAGTTGTCAGAGACTACACAAGAAGCCTGCCAGTTACGTAGATGCTCAGAAACACTCCTTTTCTCCACATTTTAGGTTGAAGTCTGGGAAGACACTTGTCAGCGT